ACACCTGAGGTCTACTTTGGGGCCCTGACTCAGGGCCGTGCCGTGCTATGATGCAGAGATGCGGCCGCATCAGGCGGCACCGTGAGGGGGCGGCATAAAAAACATTTAAGGGGCAGAATTTCAAAGACTTGCATTATACTTAGAAAATCTACCGCACGGCCTTGGTTTTACATGTCCGAATCCGGACAAGTAGACCCATTTCGGTCTCTGAGGTCGCTCTCTTTTTTTCTAACAGTTGGAATATGCAGTCTGCAGTCTATTAAACTAAAATGAAGTAATCTATTGCAGATTACTTCATTTTAGTTTAATAGATATAAACTAAATTAAAATTTAATTTAAAAATATGTAAAGGATTACTGTTATAATTTTAAAGCAGTGAACAAAGCAAGCTAAATTGGGTCGGTCGGGTCGCCCATCCCGCCGGAAGTTGAAGAGAAGGGACGAAATTACTTGGCTTGGTTATTATGGGGTAAAACTTTTCTCATGAATTTTTCAATATTGGAAAAAATGGGCAAACCGAAACGATAGTTTAATCAAATTTTAAATTTTAATATTTTTCTACGATTTGAAACAATAATCAATGATAAAAAAAACTACCAAATTATTATTTAAACTAGATTCCAGTTTTATTAAAAACTTACAATTAGAATATAAATTGACTAGCTGTTACCCGCGACTTCGTCCGCGGGAGTTTTGCAAGCAAACCCCATCTATATTCAGTATTTCAACAACTATAGTAATTGTTATATAACACCTACCGCTGAGAATAATAAGAATTGCTGAAAATCAAACGAACTGTTTTCAATTTGATTAATTTTCTCGAACGTTTAACAATCGTTCTATAATCGAAACAATATGCAATAACAAATTCGAATTTAAAACGGTTCGAACATTTGGTTAAAAAATCGAAATATATAAAAAATACTTATAACAATGTGTGAAATGTTATCAATTTAATACACCTAAGTACTCGATGAAGACAAAACGTTGTTGAAAACAAAAAATCGCCTCTAAAATAGTACAGTAAAAGCCGTTTTTTTTTGGTTAAGCCTTAATGCTCTCTCTTTCCCCCAAGCGAGGAATTTCGAAAATTCCCTTCTTAGTGTCCGTTTTCATGACATACCCTAACTGTGTACCAAATTTCACCTCTTTATGTTCAGCAGTTTGCTCTGGGCGATGATGAATCAGTGACTCAGTCAGTCAGGACAAGTAATTTTATATATTTAGATTAATCAATCAATCAATAAATCAATAACAAGTTTTACACTTATTAAAAATTTACTTTATCACTTGAAATAGGAATTGAAATCTTTACAGAAATCGAAAATCGGATACATCAGAACCTTGGCCAAACATTTTAATTCGAGTCGCCAGTTTTTGAAAAGTCAACTAAAACAAGATGCTGAAATAAAAGAAAAATTTAGAAATTTATTTATTAAATTAAGAACTGCGAAAGGCTTGGAATACAGTGCAATAAATGCCGAAATATACAAAATCTTAATTAAATTATTTGGAGAAACAACAAAAGTGGCGATTATCAATTCACCAGATTTAATAAAATTCCTCACCATGGATTCAGACGACGAATATTTCGTATCTGATGACGTTCTTTACACGAGTAATATGGTACTTGTTATGAGAAAAGGATTTCCGCATAAAAATAAAATCGACAAATTGTAAGTACACTTTAACATTTCTCTTTACGTATCAATAGAAACACTAATCTAATTTAATAATTAATTAATCTTTAGATTCAGAAGATTGTTCGAAACTGGAATTAATAGTAAATTGTCTGGAAATACATTTTTTGAATCAAAACTAAAATCGTCGAATAGTTGGAAACCTTTGTCTCTACAAGACTTGTTTGGCCCATTTACTGTGCTTATTGTAGGTTACGACTTATCATTTTCTTGTTTCCTTGCCGAATTCCTTGTCGGAATGACTCTCAATCGAATTGCTCAGTTGATATAGCAAATTATCGAATTTTTCTTTACCACAGTCAAATGTAAAGATCAGAGGTGTAGGGGAGACCGGGAGGAGATGTAACATTTTTAGAAATATTTGTTAATAAGATATTAAGTAGATTTTAAAAGTAGTCACCGATAAGTTTGTACATGTGCACTACTAGAAAAGTGTTAATTCAGGAAACTAGTTATAAACATCATCATAAAATTTACATTTTGAATTTAATGTAAGCAATGTCATTGTACAGGGTGTTTTGTTTAAACTGATGATACTCGGAGACATTTGTAGAGCAATCTAACGGCCGGACTGTTGCCAAATTTGGGAGAGTGACAAAGGACGACACAGGAAAGAGATTCCGCGAAGGAAATAAAATAGTACCTAAATTCGCCGATAGAGGTGGATTTGGCGCTGTTGTAGCGAAACAGCTAAGAATTTGTATAAAACCCAGTTACAATTAACAAACACACGAATGAATAATCAGACAGAGGTTTTAGTGCAGTTTAATTAGCCAGCAAATAATCTTCTCCCTCCTTCAATATGACCACCGTCCTGCTGGACAACACATTGCATCCTGAACTCCGTGTTCTCTACGGCCAAACGTCGTAACATGTCCGCAGAAATGTTCATCACAGTTCGAGAAATGTTGTCCTTCGAGGTCATCGAGTTGGAGACACCACCAAAATAGACCTTGGACTTTAAATAATCCCACAGTTTGAAAAAGTCACATGGGGTTAGATCCAGGGGTTAGAACCTTCAACGAGTGCAATCGCAACATCACTAACTGTTTACGCAGACACCGGTTTTTGCCCTCTCCCAGCCGAATTTCTAAGGATCCTGTTTCTTCAAATTTTTTATCAAGTCTTTCAATGCATTAATTGATAGAGGACCTCGGCGTAGGTTGTTACGGGTTCTAAACTCATGAAGAGCGCCCGGTGCGCTCGATTGGTTAAGATAATAAAGTTTCATAAGCAACTCGCGCTCAGGTAACGAAAGACGCATGTTAAACTCTGCCGAAATCTGGAATGCGCTTCGGACTTTTGTCCTTGTCTTTTCAGCTCAAATTAGGTGGCGCTGCTGTCGACTACGTCATTGTGAATTTGGGTTTTGAGGTGTTACCAGCGCGTTATGCAAATTCTTAGCTATCTCGCTANTCTGCAGATTAGCTAGTTAATGTACACATTAACGGATTTCGAGCTTTAGCGGTAACATTTATACAGAACAGCCAGGAAAGTAAACCTAAATAAAAGACTCCGTGTTGTTTACACTTTCGTTACGTTCCTAATGGCAGCTCGAGAGTGATCGATAAGAATTAGTTATCGCACGTGGCTATCGGGGCCAAAACCAAACGTACGGCTCGGAATCACGTGGTTCCGATAGAAACCGGCTGAAAACGTTAGTTTTTCAATTATATTTCTCAGAGACAAATTAAGGTGTTTTGTTTTCTGTGAAACTGGTTTTTATCGTATTCGTTAGCTTAACGATACTACTCAGAATAGGTCCAAAGGTTAGGTAATAATATGAGGAGGAATAAAGTAATAGCAGCAATTAAACGAGACAAATATCCCTACGGTAATTTGTAACAATAAATATTGTAAATTTTTAAAGCCAGATAATAATGTAAATAATTAACACTGTTTGTTAACACTGCAAATGTTTGTTAACACTGTTGTTTAAACAATAATAATTTAAAACGGAAATAAAAATAGTAGTTATTATTTATTTTGTTAATTAAATAGGAATTAAACAGGTCAAAATCAATAAAACAAAGATAAATAAATAGCAAGAAAAAATATATTAATACATAGACGAAATATTATAAACTTCACAATATATTTAAGTATTTTTTTAGAAATTGTTTATAATAATTAGCCAGAAATATAAAATGCAACGGGCCTGTAATAAATAGATTATAACACATTTATAAGAATTATCATCGAACTAGTTCATTCTATCGTAATTTGTAGAAAACACTGTAGTATCTGAGTTTGTTAACACTGCAAATACTGTAAAATATTTGTCCGAGTTTACTTAAACCCTGAATAAATAACGAAAAGGGGCTAGCATTTAAAAAAGAACCCGAAATGCATTTTTCGAAAATAGTTTAGTTGTGTATTACTTTTATAATAGACTATGAACATAAAAAGTTGTGCAACTGCATCATTGTGGTTACAATTTGGTTTTATAAATTCATAATGATAGAAATGAATAACATATTTAGGCCTATATAAAAGTGATATCAATAATAGGATAAAAAGCTTAAAATTAACGAGTAATTATTTATTGCGACGTGGTCATGATGCCGGGCTGAAATTTTTAATATCTTTAATTTATCTAATTTAAAATACAGATAATCTCCATAAATATAATACCGTATATGATCTTCACCTGAAATAAATAGTGGCTTGTTCTTGTTCATCAAAGTTTTCCCGTTAGCAATGGAATCCTGCCGGTCATCTATCTCACACCTTGCGGGGGAACATTTTAATAACGTGACTTTCGGTTTCCATTTGAACTTCATATATACGTAATCGGGAGCTTCCTGCATCCAGTACAGTACAGTATATCCAAATTTTGTCACCATGTTCACGTATCTCACTCCTTTCTCGAAATTAGAGAAAGACAGATAGTCAGATAATAGACAACCGACGACAGCGGAATTTATAAATCTACAAGTTTTTTAAAATTGACACTTAATTACTAAATAATTGAACACGTGTTTAATTCGAAAACGCGAATATAATTAATAACATAAATCATAGATAAGTGCATTCCTTTCGAACTGAATCCTTTCAACAAATTATTTACACCTACCCACCGCTGGCCTGTCCGATGCCTACAAACATTTCATAAAAATTCAACATGTCAGAACATTTCCACCAGCCCGTATCGCGATATGTTAGTTTTCGTGGTCCGGTTATAAATTTAACACCATAAACCTATGACGGACTTCACGTTACCAAGTGCCACACACAACACTGACTAATTCTCCAAATTTCATTAGTAAACTACAACTAACAAAGCAGAAAACACGTGGATAAAGAGAAAACCTTTTGTGTTGCAGATCGAAAAGTCTTCCGGAGCTACAGAAACTTTGGACGATAGTGAATTTATACTTTTATTATTAATTAATAAAAAATAAATAAATAAATATAATACTTTCATTAATAAGCAAATTATTAATAAATAAATAATTAATGAAATGTAGATTTAGATTTTTTCCAGACGTGAAATAACTGCAAAAACCGTACTTTGTGTCAGAAGCATAAAATGCACACAAAATGCGTGAGACTAAAATGAACCCGACTTCCAGTAATGTCAACTTTTGATGCGTGAGCGATGTTTTATTTATTGTGTTCCGCATACATTATCCGGTGTCTACTAATTATCTATTTATTAGACACTTTCTTACTTATTTCGTGTTTATAGTTGTTCCAGAAGAAAATTATCTTCATTCCGAACAATAATCATGGTGGAACTTCCGGTTTGTCAAGTTAACGATAGGATCTCGATTACCGGATAACAGACTGATTCATTCTTTTTCAAATCGTTGTAATTCGTACTGTTATACCCCGTTCGCACCGAGCATTTCGATCTAGATTGTGACTAAGGTCGGAGAGAGTTCCGTGGTGCGAACGCTCTCGACCGTTTCAATCTCGACTGAAACGAGGCTATATCGCGATCGACTGGAGAGAGTTCTTGAAACTAGATCCAGTCATAAGAGAGATCCCACAATCCCATGCGCGCGAGGAAATACAAGATGGCTGCTTAACACGTGTCCGGCTATCGACAGAAAAATAAAAAAGACATCTGGAGAGACGATGACATCTGTCTATTATTAGATATACGGCAAGAAAAAGTATTTATTTCTAACCAAAACTTCCATTTTGTTTGTTGGTGTTTGTGACTTACCGCGTANATCTCCTTTACGATTCATCCTGATGTTGACCATATTTGTGGTATTCACTGTACTACTGTGGCCCGCCTACATACATATAGTGGAATGGCAATTTTTTCACACTCACTACGTCACTCTTCAAAGTATGGCCTCCTCCGCTTCGTGCCAGATTCCCACGCCAAATGCATTCGACGATTCGGTGATGCGATACGTCGTCAAAAAAGATCCCCTGAAATGTAAATTCGTCCAACCGGAATTGACCTACGTAGACTACGAAGGGGTTCTTCGTCTGAATCGATCCGCCATGGCCGCTCATCGCATAGACGAGAATCTGCTGGATTGCCGATATTCCACTTTCAGGAGGAAGCCCAACGACGACGATCACGTCATTTACGATCCGAGAAAAGTCCTGAATGCCTCCGAGAAAATCATAAACGGAAGAGAGTTTGTGGCCGTGACCTGTAGCTACAGAGACAAAGTCGTATACAGGAATTATCACGCGTACATTCCCAGAAAATCAGGAATTCGATTGACTGACCAGAAGGGTATTTTTAAACCTCAGGTGTTTGTATTGGTAATCGAATCCATGTCCAGACTTAATATGATTCGTCATATGCCAAAGACTTATTCCTACCTCAACGATGTTATGAAAGCCGAAGTAAGTTTTTAAAATTATTTTTCCACAACAATCGATTGTAATATTTACTCACGTAATTACATATATTAAAAATATACCGATGTATCGAGTCATATAGTTTTATAAGTAAACTAGCTGTTACCCGCGGCTTTGCCAGCGAGGATTTTGCAAGCAAACCCCATTTATATTCAGTATTTCAACAACCATAGTAATTGTTATACAGTATAACACCTACCGCCGAGAATGACGAGAATTGGCGAGAATCAAACCAACTGTTTTCAATTTGATCAATTTTCTGCAACGTTTACAATCGTTCTGTAATCGAAACAATATGCAATAACAAATTCGAATTTAAAACGGTTCGAACATTTGGTTAAAAAATCGAAATATATAAAAAATACTTATAACAATGTGTGAAATGTTATCAATTTAATACACCTAAGTACTCGATGAAGACAAAACGTTGTTGAAAACAAAAAATCGCCTCTAAAATAGTACAGTAAAAGCCGTTTTTTTTTGGTTAAGCCTTAATGCTCTCTCTTTCCCCCAAGCGAGGAATTTCGAAAATTCCCTTCTTAGTGTCCGTTTTCATGACATACCCTAACTGTGTACCAAATTTCACCTCTTTATGTTCAGCAGTTTGCTCTGGGCGATGATGAATCAGTGACTCAGTCAGTCAGGACAAGTAATTTTATATATTTAGATTAATCAATCAATCAATAAATCAATAACAAGTTTTACACTTATTAAAAATTTACTTTATCACTTGAAATAGGAATTGAAATCTTTACAGAAATCGAAAATCGGATACATCAGAACCTTGGCCAAACATTTTAATTCGTGTCGACAGTTTTTGAGTAATCAACTAAAAGAAGATGCTGAAATAAAAGAAAAATATACAAATTTGTATATTAAATTTAGAAATGCGGAAGGCCTGGAAGCCAATGCAGTATATGCCGAAATATTCAAAATGTATATTAAAATATTTGGAAAAACAAGAAAAGTGGCGATTATCAATTCACCAGATTTAATAAAATTCCTCACCATGGGTTCCGACGACGAATATTTCGTATCCGATGACGTTCTTTCCACAAGTAATGTGGTACTTATGATGAGAAAAGGATTTCCGCATAAAAATAAAATCGACAAATTGTAAGTACACTTTAACATTTCTCTTTACGTATCAATAGAAGCACTAATCTTATTTAATAATTAATTAATCTTTAGACTCAGAAGATTGTTCGAAACTGGAGTCAATATTGAATTCTCTGGCAATACTTTTGTCGAATCAAAACTAAAATCGTCGAATGATTGGAGACCTTTGTCTCTACAAGACTTGTTTGGCCCATTTACTGTGCTTATTGTAGGTTACGACTTATCATTTTCTTGTTTCCTTGCCGAATTCCTTGTCGGAATGACTCTCAATCGAATTGCTCAGTTGATATAGCAAATTATCGAATTTTTCTTTACCACAGTCAAATGTAAAGATCAGAGGTGTAGGGGAGACCGGGAGGAGATGTAACATTTTTAGAAATATTTGTTAATAAGATATTAAGTAGATTTTAAAAGTAGTCACCGATAAGTTTGTACATGTGCACTACTAGAAAAGTGTTAATTCAGGAAACTAGTTATAAACATCATCATAAAATTTACATTTTGAATTTAATGTAAGCAATGTCATTGTACAGGGTGTTTTGTTTAAACTGATGATACTCGGAGACATTTGTAGAGCAATCTAACGGCCGGACTGTTGCCAAATTTGGGAGAGTGACAAAGGACGACACAGGAAAGAGATTCCGCGAAGGAAATAAAATAGTACCTAAATTCGCCGATAGAGGTGGATTTGGCGCTGTTGTAGCGAAACAGCTAAGAATTTGTATAAAACCCAGTTACAATTAACAAACACACGAATGAATAATCAGACAGAGGTTTTAGTGCAGTTTAATTAGCCAGCAAATAATCTTCTCCCTCCTTCAATATGACCACCGTCCTGCTGGACAACACATTGCATCCTGAACTCCGTGTTCTCTACGGCCAAACGTCGTAACATGTCCGCAGAAATGTTCATCACAGTTCGAGAAATGTTGTCCTTCGAGGTCATCGAGTTGGAGACACCACCAAAATAGACCTTGGACTTTAAATAATCCCACAGTTTGAAAAAGTCACATGGGGTTAGATCCAGGGGTTAGAACCTTCAACGAGTGCAATCGCAACATCACTAACTGTTTACGCAGACACCGGTTTTTGCCCTCTCCCAGCCGAATTTCTAAGGATCCTGTTTCTTCAAATTTTTTATCAAGTCTTTCAATGCATTAATTGATAGAGGACCTCGGCGTAGGTTGTTACGGGTTCTAAACTCATGAAGAGCGCCCGGTGCGCTCGATTGGTTAAGATAATAAAGTTTCATAAGCAACTCGCGCTCAGGTAACGAAAGACGCATGTTAAACTCTGCCGAAATCTGGAATGCGCTTCGGACTTTTGTCCTTGTCTTTTCAGCTCAAATTAGGTGGCGCTGCTGTCGACTACGTCATTGTGAATTTGGGTTTTGAGGTGTTACCAGCGCGTTATGCAAATTCTTAGCTATCTCGCTACAGCAGCGCCAAATCCATCCCTACTGGCGAATTTAGGTACTACTTTTTTCTTCGCGGGATCTCTTTCCCATGTCGTTCTTAGTAACACTCCCAAATTTGGCGACAGTCCGGTTGTTAGATTGCTCTACAGACGTCTCAGAGTAGTATCAGTTAAAAAAGAAACACCCTGTATTTGTTTAAAAAATTTGCTAAATTTTCTGCTACTCGCAATTTGAATTTTTCCATGTATGATCGCGAGTGATCGCGAGCTTACTTCGTCGGGAGGATGATTGTAAGATTAGATAGACTGCAGACAGGACACACATACAGTATTTTGAAGGGAACTTTGGATATCTCAAGTACCACTTTGCGTACCACCTGGGGTACGCGCTACCCCACTTTGAAGACCACTGTTCTACACATTTGCAATAGAAAACAAATTATAGTTCGATATTAATTCTTATTAATGTGTAATATTTAATTTTTTCATAAAAATTATTTGTCTAGGGAAAAATAACATTCATTTTATTAATCATAATAAACATAGTTCGTATGTATCGCCATCTCTTACGAGATTTTCTTATAAAAGACTTTTTATATTTTCAATTATTATCAAATGGTAAAAAGCTCAGTTTTGAGGACGGGAATGAGTTTTTATAAAAAGTTGCAAATGCTGATAACTGGAAAAATCTTCGTTTAGTCGTCTCTCGAGATATGACATATGACATTCCACTCTAACCACCTTAATCAGTAAATCTAACAATCCATTCATCCGTGTCTCCTATACACAAGTTACCGCACCAAGTTTCGTTTCTTGATCTTTAAGTCAACCCGAGATATACGAAACACTTGCCAGTACACACGCATATACACACGAAAATTTTCACCGTTCTTAGACTTTTCCGAGTTCAGGAAGTCTCAAAACGTAAAGATGGTCGAAACACTCGGGGGTCAAATTTGAATACTCTTCCCTGTTACGTATACGGAACAGCCAGGAAACTAAACTAAAATAAAATAAATGAAAGCAAAAGTTAAAGAATTGACGCTAAGTGATAGATAATGTTAGGAAACAATATGAGGATAAATAAAGTAATAGGAGCAATTAAACGAGACAAATATCCCTACGGTAAATTTTTAACATTAAAAATTATAGATTTCAAAAGCCAGAAAATAATGTAAACAATTGTTTAAACAACAATAATTTAAACCGCAAACATAAATAGTAGTTATTATTTATTTTGTTAATTAAATAGGAATTAAACAGGTCAAAATCAACAAAACAAAGATAAATAAATTACAAAAAAACATATATTAATACATAGACGAAATATTATAAACTTCACAATATATTTAAGTATTTTTTTAGAAATTGTTTATAATAATTAGCCAGAAATATAAAATGCAACGGGCCTGTAATAAATAGATTATAACACATTTATAAGAATTATCATCGAACTAGTTCATTCTATCGTAATTTGTAGAAAACACTGTAGTATCTGAGTTTGTTAACACTGCAAATACTGTAAAATATTTGTCCGAGTTTACTTAAACCCTGAATAAATAACGAAAAGGGGCTAGCATTTAAAAAAGAACCCGAAATGCATTTTTCGAAAATAGTTTAGTTGTGTATTACTTTTATAATAGACTATGAACATAAAAAGTTGTGCAACTGCATCATTGTGGTTACAATTTGGTGTTATAAACTTATAATGATAGAAATGAATAACATATATTTCATTAATTTAAAAATGATAACAATATTAAAATAAAAAGCTTAAGATTAACGAGCAATTATTTATTGCGACGTGGTCACAATGCCGGGCTGCAATTTTTAATATGTTTAATTTATTTAATTTAAAATACAGACAATCTCCATAAATATAATACCGTATATGATCTTCATCTCAAATAAATAGTGGCTTGTCTCTGTTAACACCTTACAACCTACGATGGACTTGACCTTACGACGTGCCACACACAACAGTGGCTAATTCTCCACTGCGTGACAAACATTTAATTACTACAAATGCAATCTCTTACAGTTCATTGTAAAATCAATAAAAACAGATATCCTGCGTGCAAATTTTATTAAAATTGCGAATGTACAAAGGTATCTGTGAGTGAGAAAATAAAATAAAATTTGCAGTTTTTCTTTTTATTTTTGTTTCAAATTTACATTTGTTTAATTTTGTTTCAAATAACTGCAAAAACCATAATTATCTATTTATTAGATACTTTATTATTTATTTCGTATTTATAGTTGTTCCAGACGAAAATCATATCCATTCCAAAACATGATAATGGAGGCACATTCGATTATGTTAATTAATTAAATTAATAATAGTATCTCGACAGAATGATTCATTGTTTTTCGAACGATTGTAATTCGAACCGTACTGTTAATATAATTCTTTTGTACGTGATTAAGAAAATAATGTAACTCCCCGCTATGTATTATTCTTTAGTACTATTAACGGATGCATCTATGACAGGAGTTATCAAACCACGGCCGGCGAGGTCAGTTCATTCGTCTCCCACAACGATGTGCAACAAATGAGTTAAAATATAATTATTTCTATAGAAATATCATAGATCATAGATGTAGATAAACTTATATTTATTTTAATTTTTCATAAATAGTAAGTATAAATGCCAGAAGTGACCCAATCTGATTTTTGCATCTGACAATAAAATAATTTTAAAAAAAATCAGCCAAATAAAATATCGTTGACATTTTGAGTCTTTGGATATCAGAGCCTTTTTTGTATAAGTACCTGCAACGAAGTTTTTAACGAAAGCGACTATATGTTTGCTGCAGCGATCCTGTTTGTATATTGATAAATAAATATGTTGATTGTCTTTTGTTTTTCGTGTATTTAGTTTTTGTAGCGAACAAAATGGTTCAGCGGCCCGCGCTCGTCATTCTCTGTTATATGTCCCGCTGTGAAAAAAGTTCATTTAACTGTTATACTGATTTTCTCTATAGACAGCAAATGTTAGGTAACCCATAGATGTGTTTTAATCGGATTCATATCGGGATTTCTAGATGGCCAATCGATTACCTCAATTACACAAATATTGTCTTCGGCATATTTTTGTCGTGCAAATAATTCTTTAAAAAATCGTCAGAATTTCTCTATTTAACAGATATAAAACTGAACACGATGCAAAAATAGGCGTTAATATACAATCGTGTTCGGTAATATAATATTGTCAAGAATGCCCCTGACAAATATGTATATACCGACCATTCAACATAATCTGGTATTTATTAACACGTAGTTGCATTAACAAACTTTTCATTGGAAATTCAATGTTATAATTTAAGCAATCGGAGGGCTGGCGACCTGTACTTACTTCTTTCATATATATTATGTGGCTGAAGCGAAGTTATATCTTAATTCCTTGATTGATCACATCGTGTTTGCTTTATATTACAGAAATAAGTTCTGAACTGCAGCTCTGAATGATTCGAAAATATTAAGGAGTAGCCTAAATTATCAAAAATGTTTTTAATTGATAACACCCAATTTTTCTTGCTTGAATTTTCTTTCTTCAATAAAGAATCATAGACACAATAACAAAGATTGCGATGAATACGATCAATAATCTTAGACTAAAACAACAAAATATTTTTAAAATATTAATTTCAAGCCGAAGTTTCCCTAATTTCAATCGAACAACAGAACCAGACACCGAACGTTCGAGCTTCAATAATCTTTCGAAATATCTTAATTGAACCTTCTCAATATCTTTAATAAGATAAAACTCCAAATTTCCATCAAATATGTCAGTTTAGATTTTAACACAGTGTGAAAAACTTTAAACGTTTAATAGAGTTTATCCTTATTTTTGTATGTAGTGCGAAAAGACAACCTGTCTTCTGTAATATATCTTTCTCTATTTCATCCAAAAACTACAGAGGAAGAAAAATTTAATCCTAAATATTTTAAATGAAAAATAAAATCAATCTATACATTGTTAATAACAATTTTATCAACTTTGTTTTCTGAAAATTAACAAGGTCATTTTCTAACGTATAATCAGATAATAAAATCGGTTTCTTCTGTAAAGATGACTTCCAGTCCGCTAGCAATAATACGAGTGCAGTTTATCCAGGACAATTAGGTAAACTCCCGAAAAATCT